GAGTCTGAAGAGCAGGATCATTAGGCCAGCCTTTGTTTTGTTTCATTTTATTGTTCGTTTTATTACTGTACTTTGTTCATTGTTTTTATTTTTACGCTCCTGTACAGCACTTTGGTTTTTATTTTGCTTTATAAATAAACGATGATGACGATGGAAATAATAACTAAAATGAATGAATAAACTGAAAAAAAGGGGAAAAAAAGACAAAAAGAGGTTTAAACCAAACCAAAGTTGTTAATCAAAGTATTAAGACGTTGAGCAGATTTGTTTTTAATTAGACTAAGAGATTCATCAAATGTTTCAAGGTGATTTTTCCAATAATCTATATTTGGCTTAGCTTTAAAAAAAAATCTACATTTATGAATGAAAAATTTCCCCAACATTACCATATTATTAATTAGAAAGTCTATTTCGGATTTACGAAAGGCTTTCAACTCACAAATGATGTCTGGATTATCTCACATTCTGTGTGTTTCAGAGTATTTTATCTATGTACCATAAAAAGTATGTGAAATTGTTAAGGAGAAATTACAGTGCAAGCTTTTTTTATTACATTGTGTTTAAGCATGTGACTGGTTAAATATATACACTTTACTAAAACCAGGGATCTGTGTGCAAGGATGCTGAACAAATACTTGGCACCTCTATAAAAACTGGGGCCACTTGATGACCCCTTACTCAGAAAAATCCCAGGGGTCAGATTTATAAAACTGGCGTACGCACAATTTGAGCCCAGAAACTTGCGAACGACACTTTTCACACCAAGGTTGTGATTTATAAAATACAAACTTGACATGAAAATGTGCATTGCCTCACAGCTCTGACCCATGCGTACACTCATTTCGGAGACGTGAAACTGTGACACAAATGGTGAAGTGAGGAATTAGAGCCACACTGTGTAATGAGTGAAGAAGTTGATTTAAAACGATATAGAAGACAGAGGAAAAGATAAGGGAAGTTATAATGAAGGCTGCAAAATTAGCAATACCTGTACAGTGGTTTGCAAAAGTATTCATACCCCTTGAACTTTTCCATATTTTGTCACATTACAACCACAAACA